AGCTTCACTGCTGTCTGGTACCACTCCTGTAGCCGATCAGGTACGTCTCGATAGATGCAAGCCTGAGAGAGGTGATCGTCCAATCCCTCAACAAAGTATTGAACCAGGGATTGTTCGGACCACCCCTCTGTTCGGCCTGCTAACTTGCGGAATTCTCGTACGTACTCCAGGGCAGGCCTCCCGGCTTGTCTTATTTTGTAAATTTGTCTTGCTGCTTTGAGGCCTATGGATGGGTCCTCAAATCGTTCTTTCAGACCTAAGAGGAAAAGGTGGGGATCTTCCAATTCGGGGGCTTGCTCACTATATAAATTATTCAGCCATTCAGCTGCTTCTCCCTCTAGGTTGGATGCAAATACGTCGACCATGGCACCTGGGTCTGGATAATGGTAGGCCCAACGATTCAAGTGAGTGCGCCCTTGGTTGAGAAAAAAAATCAGCTTCTCTGGGTCTCCATCGAAGGTTGCATTGAAGGGTGGTGCAAAAACAGGCTGTTGCGGTCCCCACTGGGGCTGTTGCTGCTGGCCCCACCCCGGTTGTTGGTCCCATGGCTGCTGGGCTCCCTGCTGTTGATATGGTGCCCCCAGTTGTAGTTGGCCCCTTCCTGCCTTCCAATCCCATGGTTGGTGGGCTCGCTGTTGCTGGGCAGTGGAGGCTGGTAGTGCCCCCTGCTGCTGCAGGCCTCCCAATGGTGACTGTGCAAGTGGGGTTTGTAGTGGTGTATTCTGCTGTTGTAGGCCCCTCAATGATTGCTGGACATGCTGGGCCTCCCCCATCTGCAAGCTGACCGGGTGTAGTTCTGGCAGTTGCATCACTTCAAGCTGCCGTAAGATTTCTATTAGCTGTGGTGAGCTCAGTTGCTGGAAAGGCCTCAATTTGGAATTCTTTATGTCTTCAGGACTGTGACTCACCAATTTTGCTGGCAATGCTGCACGGCTTCGTCCGGAGCCTTCACTTGGCTTATCACAGTCTGACATCCCTCCCGATATCTTTGGCCTCGCTCCCAGCTGGAAAATCTGCCAGATTCCTTTCTCCCCCGGCTTGCCGGCTGTCGCTTCTCCCCCCGGGGAAGCTGCTGCTGCTAGGAGGAAGCTGGTGTCATACAATTCCTTCTCCTTCATTCCTGGTGTTCCCCAAATCTTTACCAGTACCTCTCAAACTTCGAGGCACTGGATGGGGTTTGGGACCCCATATTGTTTTAGAATGAGATGAGATCTAAGCATAATGTCATGTGTCTGAGTAACGAAACACTTAAAAGGACTTTCAGGCATTTTTTCTCCTAAAAGCATTTATTAAGATTACAATACGTCAGCACAGCATGGTGGAATGCTTAGATCTGCTTCTCTTCCGCTANACATTTTCCACTCCCTTATTGTAGGGTCATGGTTCACATCTTCCAATCAACTTGGAAGATGTGATTTACTTCCGGTTTCTTTCTCCCGGGCTATCCTTATGCTCCTCCCTCTTTCTTGGTTGCTGGTTTAACTATATAAATACCAGACAGTTCTGCACATTGTCAAAGCAAGAATATACAGTATTTGCAGCGTTGACAGCTTGTTAGTTTCTGTTTTTGGCTTCAATAAAGAAGTACTTGTTTCTATTGCTGCCTCTTCAATGCTGAACCAAGCAGAAAACAGAATGGAGACTTTATTAGACCCATTGGTTGAATGACATAGATGTTCATCCTGATTTTTCTGGACCAAATCTGCACTCAAACCCTCTTTCACAATGAGCTGTGGATTCAAATAGTCCTCGATTTACAGCAGTTCATTTATTGACCGCTCAAAGTTACAATGGCTCTGAAAAAAGTGACTTATGACTACTTTTCACACTTATGACCGTTACAGCAACCCCATGGTCACATGATCAAAGTTCAGACGCTTGGCAACCGACTCATATTTATGACGGTTGCAGTGTCCCGGAGTCATGTGATCGCCTTTTGCGACCTTCTGACAAGCAAAGTCAATGGGGAAGCCAGATTCACTTAACAATCATCTTATTAACTTAAGTGCAATCATTTACTTAACAAGAAAGGTCATAAAATGGGGCAAAACTCACAACTATGTTGCTTTAGCAACAGAAATTTTGGGCTCAATTTTGATCGTAAGTCGAGGACTACTGTACATGCTTCTAAAAATAATTACTAATAATAATTATCAATTATTAATAAATTATTATTATTATTATTATTATTATTATTATTATTATTATTATTATTATTATTATTATTATTATTATTATTATTATTATTATTATTATTATTATTATTAAGTAATTAATCATTGGAGGATCTAATCTGGGCTGGTCACTGGGACTACAGTTATAGTTTTCCAAGATTTCGGACTTGTGCACATTCCGATAGAAGTTCCCCGTGGATGGGCTCCAGCACGAGTCCAAAAACTCGGAAGACTAAACCTCTAGTCCTGGTGACCAACCCAGATTGCATCCTGCAACATTATGCTGGGACAGGTATATTTGCCTTCATTCGTAATAATTACTGTTTATGGTTTGGCTGTTGACTTTAACAAGGAGAGGGAGATGCCTTGAATGGAAGCCAGCAGAGACTTATCTTTGACCTTGGTGCCTCTTTTTAGTGCCAGGCAAGAACTTGCCCCATAGGTGATGACACAGGCCAGATTATACATGCAGCCACATGTGGCAGGAATGAACTGACTGACTTTTGTATTATTTCTGAGTTCATGAGGAGATGTCATTTCTCTGCATTAATTTTAAGAAAAGTATCTCTGCAAGGAGAGATCGGCATCTGAAGAAGAACCTACAAGGTCTCTGTGGGGCTGGATTTTTGCATGCAGGAAATGTTCTCCCTGAAGAGCATTCCAGTGGCATTCCAGGGATTTGAACAGATGTGCTCTTATTTCATAAAGATTCCTGTGACTCATCGACCAACCGTTGATGCAATTTCAAGTTTATAGGTGGACAGGTCTGTTCAAGAGGAGATAAAAGTTTGGAAAAGTCAAAATAACAGCTGGGTCCTTGTGAGGGACAGGTATAAAAAGAGGCTAGGGAGAGGGAGAGGGAGAGAGGGGGAGGGAGGGAGGGAGAGAGAGAGAGAGAGAGAGAGAGAGAGAGAGAGAGAGAGAGAGAGAGAGAGAGAGAGAGAGAATGAATTATATACAGCATTATAAAGGAGAGTTCTTTTTCCCCAGAAAGCTGTCCTTTAGGTTTACTTTTCAAAAACTCACCTTTGTCCTTTATTTGTGTCATTTAACTTTTACCATACAAATAGTAACAGTTAAGTCTTTCACATTCATGTAAAAAATATGGAAATTGAACTGTATTTATAAAATAAATGCAGGTAGAGTTTGATTTTAGATACTAGACTAGAATATGTGCTTTTTATAAAGTTTTTCTTGGTTTTGCTCTTAAATTTTAATTTGTAAAGCAAAGTTATAAACATAAACAATTACATTTTTGTCATTATGAACCTCTTTAAGATATGCCACTTTTTCAGGTTTATCCTTTTTTGTTTCAAAGAAAATATGGTTGTTGTACTTATATTGGACTTTTTTTTCCAAAAAGCTGCATCCACCTTCAAGCTCAAGAGATTGATAAAGGCAGTCTTGCCAAAGTTTATGTACTTTTAAATTCCTGTTAGATTCTAGTGGGAAAGTAAAAAAAAAAAAAAATTTCAGGTCTATGGAGATTCTCAGTCATCCAGGTCATGGTTGTCCCAAATGTGCTTTTTCAAAAGGCAACTGGACTTTCTTTGTTTTTCCTTGAAGATGTTTTGCTTCTTATCCAAGAAGCTTCTTCAGTTCTAACTGAATGGTAGAGAATGGAAGGATTTATATTTATATTCCTTGCAGTCATGACCGCAAAGAATGTAAATGCTTCCATTCTCTACCATTTGGTCAGAACTGAAGAAGCTTCTTGGGTGAGAAGCAAAATGTCTTCAAGGAAAAACAAAAAAAGTCCAGTTGCCTTTTAAAAAAGCACCTTTGGGACAACACATTTCAGGCTTTCCCGGGAGATTGTGGAGGTGCTTAATTTTGTATCAGGCCAGAATATTGTATGTTTTATTTTTTTCCCTATTCTGACAAGGTGATTCTGGACCAGTTCAACCCAAGCTTAAGGAATTTTGTTACCATGGGGAAAAATTATCAAAAAGCCCTCTCAGGTAAGGGAATGCCCCATTCCAACTCCCTGACTTTGAATTAGATCAGCATTGGTCCTTTGCAGGAGAAACTTTTTGTATTCAAACTTCATTATTTGATGTCTGTTCTCTCCCACTCCCTGTTCACCTTTACAGGGGTTACTGTTGCTGCCAAAGGCTACTTTGATGCCTTGGTGAAACTTGGTGAGTTGGCCAGTGACAGCCAAGGATCCAAGGAGCTGGGTAGGTTTCTTGATTGATCTGTTTTGTCTCTTCCAAAACAACAATTCAAATACCCGAACAACCGGTTCTCTTATTGGATGCAGGCCTGGGTCTCCGAGGCCTAGAACAGACTTCCGGAAGTGGCATCCACGCACTTCCGGTGGGCCGTTCTAGACCTGGGAGGCTTCCTCCAGACCTCCAAGTCCTAGAACAGACTTCCAGAAGTGGCATCCATGCACTTCTGGTGGGCATTCAGCCGGTTCGCCGAACTCAGCAAAATTTAGCTACTGGTTCTTCTGAACCAGTGCGAACCGATTGAATCCTACCACTGGTCCAGCCACTGTGTTCTTTGATAGCCTGGTTTCCTTTTACCACTAATTCTTTTTATTTTTCTATAGAATTTTCTATAGAACGTCACAAAGTACAACACAAATAACCTTCCCTAACCTGAAGTCCCATGTCTTTCGAAGTGTTGGGACTTCAGCTCCCAGAATTCTTATCCAGTATTGATAAAGGAAATACACTGGCAGTGTATTGCGGGGTGCGGGGGTGTCAGGTTGGGGAAGGTTAAAACAGCTTTGGACAGAGTTAGCCAATCAGGCTACATATCTAGGGTACAAAATTCCAAGCAGGCACTAAGTGGGAAGAAATACAGGTAATCCTCAATTTACAACCATTAATTTAGTGACCATTTGAAGTTACAATGTCACTGAAAGGTGACTTAGGACCATCTTTCACACTTAAGGACCATTGCAGCATCCCCGTGGTCACGTGAGCAGAATTCGGGCTCTTGGCAACTGACACGTATTTATGATAGGTACGCTTTCCCCAGGTCATTTGATCAGCATTTGTGACCTTCCCAGCCATCTTCCAAGAAGCAAAGTCAATGGGGGATGCCAGATTTGCTTAATGACCACATGATTCACTTAACAACTGCAGTGATTGACTTAAATGTGGCAAAAAAAGGTCGTAAAATGAGGCAAAACTCACTTAACAACTGCCTTGGTTAACAATGAAACTTTGGGGCTCAATTGTAGTCATACGTTGACGATTATTTGCATGTCTATGTGGCCATCTAACTGCTGTCTGGATTTTTGCAGCCCAGATATAGTAGCCTGAGTATTGTTGGCTGGGGAATTCTGGGAGTTGAAGTCCACATGTCTTAAAGTTACCCAAAGTTGAGACAGACTGGTTTACCTTATGAAGATTGGCCTTGTGACCTGTTTACTTTCCCTCTTTCTGGCTTGCATATGTACAGTATATTATGTGATTGGATACCCTTATAATTTGGCAACCAAATTATACTGGTGGCATCATGGAAACCACCCCCAGAGAGAAGTAATTCCATGCATTTAAGGTAAACTGAAATGAAGAACTTAGTTATGTGTTCAGCAGAATCAGCTGGGAAATTTTGCTTGTGCTGTACAGGTGTATAGTGAGGAAGAGTTGTCAAACATGCTATTTGCAGCTGAGAGAAAAATAGGGATTTTTTTTTCAAGTTTAATTATTGTCAGAACCCACCCATCCCCAAATATCAATAAGTATGGTAGAGTCAAAGGACAGGGTTATTGCTGATGCAGTTAATTGTATAACTATCCTTAATCTACTTTAAGTTATTTGGGGTTTTTTGGGATTTTTAGCATTTTATTTTCTATGAATGCCTCTAGCGTTTTGTTGAGGACCACAGGAGTTGTTGGAATGCAGATTATGTTTACAGCAAACATTTTGCTATAAAGCAGATGACATGGGTTTAATTAAAACATATTTTATAAATAAAGTTAAGTGTAGGCAGACTAGTGGACCTAGATCAGTAAATGGCAAGTACAACATTAGGCCTGGTACTCTAGCTGTGGATGATGGGACTTGTAAATATCAAGCACATTTGGAGGGGACTAGTTGCAAAAGGCTGTTCAAAATCATTAGATTTTTGCATGTCTCTTAAGTTATTCCTAAATATATGTGGGGATATGCCTGCCTATGTTCATGATATACAGATAGTCCTCAACTTACAACAGTTCACTTAGTGATGTTTGAAGTTACAACTGTACTGAAAAAAGTGAGTTATGATCATTTTTCATACTTATGACCATTGTAGCATCCCTATAGTCACATGATCAAAATTCAGATGCTTTGCAACTGACTCTTATTTATGACGGTTGTAGTGTCCATGGGGTGGTGTGATCACCTTTTGTGACCTTCTGACAAGCAAGGTCAATGGGGAAACCAGATTCACTTAACAATCATGTTATTAAGTTAACAACTACAGTAATTGTGGCAAGAAAGGTCATAAAATGGGGCAAAACTCACTTAACAAATATCTCACTTAGCAACAGAAATTTTGGGCTATATTGTGGTCATAAATAGAAGACTACCTATGCAGTTAATCCTCGATTTACAACCACAGTTGGGAGTGGAAAATTTGATGTTAAGTGGTATGATTGTTAAGTGAGATATCATATGACTGTCATCTGATTTTATGATCTTTTTGTCACAGTTATTAAGCGAGGCAACGTATGATAACGATTTGCAACCTTCCCTACCATTCTCCCCCTTGACTTTGCTTGTTGGCAAGGAAGGTCGCAAATAGCAATCATGTGGCTCTGGGATTCTTCAAATGTAAATGTGAGATGGTTGCCAAGTGCCCCAATTGCAATCAAGTGATCACAGGAAAGCTGCAATGATCATAGGTATGAAAACTGGTCATAAGTCACTTTTTTCAGCACCATCATAACTTTGAACAATTATTAAACAAATGGTCGTAAGTTGAGGATTATCTGTATATTACACCAGTGGTCCACAATCTTTCTAGCTTGCCGGCCTGGCCTGGCATGGGGGTGAGTGGCATGCACATGCGCACACAGCTTCATTTGTGGAAGCGTGTGTGCACGCCCTCCTCTCACCTGAATGGAGCTTCGTGCACAAGCAAAGGGTGCCTGCACTTGTGCACGAAGCTCCATTCGCACGAGCGGAGGGCACTTGTGCTTATGCGTGAAGCTCCACTTGCATGAGTGGAGGGCGCTCACTCACCAAGCATCATTCACACAATTGGAGCTTTGCAAGTCTTCTGCTTGCGAGTGAGCTTCACATGCGCATGCTTGCCCATTTCTCCCATGGCCTTAGTAGTGGGCCATGGTCTGGGGGTTGGGGACCCCTGTGTTACATAAATTTAATCTCTATGTACCATAAGTAAAGTATGTAGATCACAGGTTGCTGACTCAAGGCAAAATGTACACAGCTTTCTCCAAAGTTCTCTGGAGCAGGGTTTCTCAGCCTTGGCAACTTTAAGCTGTGTGGACTTCAACTCCCAGAATTCCCCAGCCAGCATTAAAGTTGCTGAGGCTGAGAAAACCTGCCGTTGAGCATGAAAGGCTTTGCTGGTTCCAGTTGAAAGCTGTTTCTTCAGGGAATGGAATTAACTCCAAAGGAGATTACCCTGGGACAGGGTACAAAAAGATCTTTAAATGTGGAGGGACTTCTTTGGGTGCATTAACCCTTCAGTTGTCTTGGCCTTCAGGTGATACCTTGTTCCAAATGGCTGAAGACCACAGGCAGATGCAAGTACAGTTAGAGGAGACGGTGAGTATCCACATGTGATATTAGCCCAGCACCAGATCTGCCCATATTAGATTAATAGCCTGCTTTTTTTCTGGCTTCACATTCTTCTTATGTCCTAGATTGGACCTGCAGGCCCATTTTTCCTAGTACCTTCTGAATGTCTTACAGCCATTTCTGGAACCCAGAAGAGAGGGGAGGGAGGGAGAAATACAGATCTCCCTTTGTCTGATTGTCATCTGCCCTTTTCTGCTTTCCCATCCCTTGTCCTTAGCTGAAATTTTTCCACTCTGAGATGCTATCCCAACTGGAACACAAACTGGAGCTGGATATCAAGTATCTGATGGTAAGTGAAAAGATTTGTCTGCATCTCCCCACTCTGCAATTTCAAATTTGTCTCTCTGTGGCTGCCTATCACCTCATCCTCATTATTATATATTTTACCCAGTTCATAATGGCTGAATTCGCATAGCCTGCTGTCATAAAGCATGTTGACACAATGTGGTAAGCCTAAACTAAACATGGCTTAAAGAGAGCCCAGCTTTAAATTTGGGGTTTCTTAGTGTAGGAGAAGAGCAGACAGAGCTGGGGTGCGGGTGGGAGGGTGGAGTTAAGCATGTCATCAGCTTGCATTCCCATAAAGCACTTCCAAGTCCAACCCCTCTTGAATTCCGTTGACCTTTATCTGGCACCAATTTTGAGTTGAACTTGTGTTGACCAGATTCTTGTGGATAGGCTTGAATAAATGTCCTATGCTGCAACCTTACAAAGGGTCCTGATTCTTTGCACCTGACAGTTAAGTCAGCCAGCATTCCTCAGGGAACCCAGTTTTCCGAATCTTTTTTTTTTTCAAAAAATTTTTTTTTTATTATTATTTTCAACATAAGAAAAAAAACAATCACAAGTACATCACAATTGAAAACCCCCCCCCACCCCCCACCCGGACTTCCCAAACCTAATCCCAGGATACTATTCAACTAAAAGTAACCTTATACTAATATCCCTAGCTCCACAAAATATAATTCTACATAAGTAGGT